CACAAAATATTGAGCCATTAAGGATATACATCTATTTAAAATTCGTGAAGAATTATAGCATATCGATTCGGGTCTGCACAGGCATGGAATGGGGAAATTTGTAGTTATTGTTTAATTGTGCATTGTTGGTACTTTACCCGGCATCTTGTGTTAAGCCCATTCCTTTGCTAGATAATATGCATGCCGGTACTTTGTGTCCATATCCTTAATGGTGCCAGGTAGTTTATGCCCATGTCTTTAATAGTTCCTGAACTTTTGCTCATTTAGGCACAGACAGTATTAGTAGGGATTGCAACGGTCCCGCAGTAATTATCAGCTAACTTTGAGCAAGATTTGTAAAACATGGTATTTATAATGATAACTAGCGCTCAATTAATAAGTAAAGTTGTAGAAAACTTATTTTTTTATAATAGTATCTAATAGAAGTCTATCAGTTTTAGCATTAGTTTTTGATTAATTTGATGGAACCGATCAGCTAAATTTTCAACCACACTGTTCGGTCCCATCTAAATTACTCAAAAACCAATGCTAAAACTGATAAACTTTTATTAGATACTATTATAAAAAAAAACAAAATTTCTAAAACTTATTAATTTAACACTAGTTAAGAATGCCAATTTTTTAAAAATCTTGCTCAAAGTCGGCTGATAATTACTGCGGAACTGTTGCCATCTCTAGGTATTAGTGTCTCAGCCTAATCCTAATGCACCAGGAATAGGTATTTATATTTGTAATAGCATATATCATTTAATCACAATAAACTTTATTTCTGTGTTATTTAAATAATCAAATGTGAATATGTTAAAAGAAATAAAAATATTTAAATTTTTATTAGTATATTTAATCCTTCGTGATTGCTTACAAATACAAATGTGATTTTATTATTTAATAAATCACAAATATCTGTTTCTAATACGTTACGGTTATACAACATTGAACATGATATATTTGAAAGCGACACTGAATGTGAAAATGAAGCTACTTTTGCCGCTTCGCTAGTTGATCCAACGCTTATTTTCCTAACGTTTGGTAATTTCTTACAAATCCAATTCTTGCACTCTTCAAAAGCCTATAAAATAAATTTTAGTTAAAATATTTTATACTTTTTAAATTAAAACAACTACCCTATTTTCTTGTAATAACGGTAGTAACTATTACCTACCGATTCATAACTATACAATTCTTCTATTCCTGAAATATCATTTTGTACTGAGAGTAATGCATACCTCACAGATGTCTCAATTTCGAATTTAACTTTAAACCTTTCAAATAAATGATTTTGTTCGAATGTATCAATTCCGTTTACTTGGGTGGGAACTAACAGACACTCATCATATCTTAGTATTGGTAGAATTTTAATTAATTCGCTCTTTTCCTTTAAAAGGACTATTTCAACATTAGCACATTTCTCACGCATTTTTTGAAAAATTTCCTGTGCAGTAAAATATGAAAAAGAACCTTCCGGACTGAGAGTATAAAACCTTCTGATTGAATCATAAATCAGAAATCCACTATTTTGAAGAATTTCATCATAAATATTGTTCAAAAACTTTTTAAAAACCATTTTTACTTGGAGATCTACTCCTAACAAATTACTTTTCCTCGCTCCAGAGACATTTAATAAGCGTATATTATTATTAACAATCCATTTCACAACCTCGTCTAAATTACTTGCGAATACATTCACAATTTTCAATTTCTTTTTCAATTCTTTAGCTCTATCAATAGTATATTGAGTACCATAATCATTCGTTGAATCTCCTTGAATAATTAACACACCATCTGAAAACTCAATATTTTTATCGGTCCTATAAGAATAGTCATCAATATCTAATTCCACCATTGGATACTTATTATCAATGGTTCCATCTTCACATTTTCTACCTTTTGGACAAAAACCGATAAGAACAAAACGAATCGTATTAGTTATATACATAATGAACTCTTGATTATTAATCAATTGCTTTTTTTTATCTTTTGAAAACTCAAAAAATTCATCTTGAAAGATTTTGTCTATGCCTGTTTGGCCGCCAACACGAAATATAAGATCAAAAAACATCTTTAAATTGTTAAAGTTTTAAAATTAAACATGATAGACAAGATTTTTATTAACAATGCGATACGTATCACATTTTGAAATACATTGAAATTCAGAGCAAGGTTTTTTCACATGGTTTTTGAAATAGAAAGTAAAACTTGTTATTAAATTAGATACCATTTTCCTATTCGTAATTAAATGATTTAATAATATTAAAGAACTTTTGTTTAATTTGCAAATATTACAAAATGGTTATCAATAGTGATGGGACTAACAATACAAAAAATAGGTGATTTTTAATTGTCGCATTAATAATTTATGCCAAATAATATTTTATATATATTTTTTCAATACATTACGGGGTATAAACATGAATTTTTAACTTTTAAGTCCCATTACAACGCTTATTAATACATACATTAAAGTTCATTAACATTATTTCAATTGTTTAAATCTTTAAAATTCATAAAAAAAAATAATAGTTCAATTAAAATATGTTTAATTCTGTGGCAAGAATAGAAATGTGATTCAAAACAATAACTACTGTAACAATAATTATAACAAAAGCAACATTTAGTTAGCTATCAGTTTTACCAAATTAAATAAATCAATCAGTATTGTATTTAGTGAGGGATTTAAAAATCTAAATTTATACAATTCTTTTTTTTTTTTTATGAATGATTTGTTTTATATGCTAATAGTTAAATTCTTAAAGGACGCTAGCAACATGACTTTTTGTCGAGCACCTTCATGTAAGAAATTTAAATTGTTCATGCTTTATCTGTTATCCAGATATTTAATATTATTATATTTTTTTGTGTTATAATACATAATATTTTAAGATTATGAAGTGTTATTTATTATTTGATTTTTTTAGCAGGAGAGTAAGTGCCAAAATATCATGCTAATATATCACATGTATATGTGTTTATATGTAATTGTAATTAAGTGAGGGGGATTTTACTATTTGCAAAAAATCAGCTAATAAAAGACACTTCCCTTATCGTTTTACAATAATTTGATATTATTCCAGGTGTTCAAGACTACATCTAAATGTTAATTTCCATTATCAAGGCCTAATTGAATCATCTTGAAAATTCTGCTGGCTAATAATGAAGGTTCTTCCAAACTAAAACCAGAATGTACAAGTGATGTTTCAAAAAGAAGCCATGTAAGGTCTTTAACTATCTTGTCATTCTTATCAGCCTCAACTTTGGTTTTAAGTTATTTAATGATTGAATGATGTGGATTAATTTCCAAAATTTTTTTAGATGATATATATGATGCCATACTAGAATCACGTAATGCCTGAGCTTTCATGATACATTCAAAGTTGGCAGACCAACCGTATTGTCCAGTTACAAGAACGCATGGTGACACTGAAATACGATTTGATACAAGAACCTAAAAAATAAAATAGATTTTAAAATAATTAAAATAAAAACCTTTAAATAAAAAAAATTTTTTTTTGTCTTTTCAACGTTATCACCAAGAATTTCTTTAATTTGCTTGCACAAATAATCATATTTCCTAATTTCTTCTTCACGCAGTTTTTTTTCTTCCTCATCTTCATCAATCTCAAGCCCTTCTTTTGTGATACATACAAGTTTCTTACCATCGTATTCGTTAAGTTGCGAAATAGTGTATTCATCAATGGGGTCGGTCATAAGTAAGACTTCATACCCTCGTTTTTTTAATACCTCCAAAAATGGTGAATTCTCAACAGCCTGACGATTTTCTCCTGTAATGTAGTAAATTTCTTTTTGTTTTTCTGGCATGCGCGTCATGTAATCTTTTAGAGAGGTAAGTTCATCGGTGGATTTTGTAGAATAATAATGAAGGAATTCGGCTAATTTGTACCGATTCTGAGAATCCTCATGAATTCCAAGCTTAATGTTTTTGGAAAATGCTTCATAGAATTTTGCGAAATTTTCCCTGTCCTCAGCAATCTCAGAAAACAGCTCTATACATTTTTTCACTATATTTTTACGAATAACTCTAAGAATCTTGTTCTGTTGAAGCATTTCTCGAGAAATGTTAAGCGGCAGATCTACTGAATCAACTATTCCTTTGATGAAGTTAAGATATTCAGGAATTAAATCTTCACAATTGTCTATAATAAAGACGCTGCGTGTTTTTTCTTAGTTTCAAAGAGATCGGATGGAGCATGACATGGTACGAATAGAATTGTTCTGAATTCTAGTTAACCTTCGACAGAGAAATACCTAACGGCCAATTGTTCCTCCCAATCATTAGTTAGAGACTTGTAGAATACAGCATATTCTTCATGTTTAATATCATCAGAATTTCTTTTCTAGATAGGTTTAGTTTTGTTTAACTCTTCGATTTCTATTGTCTTTATCTTCTCTTTATCATTTTTCTCATCTTTTTCAACTTTCTTTTCAACAATAAGTTGGATCGGGTGGCCAATGAATTCAGAGTGTTTCTTTCAACCTCTCTAATCCTATGTTCTTCAAGATATTCTAATTGAACTTCTTTGAGAAACAATTTAATAAGTGTGCCTTGGCCAATTGGTTCATTATCTGTATCACGAGCGATAGTGAATGATCTACTGGCTGACGATTCCCAAATATACTGTTCGTCGTCATTGTGCTTTGTGATCACTTGAACACGGTCCGCAACCAAGTAGGCAGAATAGAAACCAACACCAAACTGACCAATCATAGAAATGTCAGCACCAGATTGCAAAGCTTCAATAAAATTCTTAGTACCTGAACGAGCAATAGAACCAAGATTATTCACAAGTTCGGCCTAAGTATGTATTCATTGTTAACATAATCAACTATCATTTTTCGAACAATATCTTTGATCGTTTTGTGTGATAATACCTTGGTCATGCCAATTCCAGTATCCCGTAATATAAGAACGTTATTTTCCTTATCAGGAATGATTCGGATATAAAGTTCATGTTCGTTATTAAGTTTTGAAGAATCAGTAAGTGATTCATATTGAATCCTATCCAAAGCATCTGAAGCATTAGATATTAATTCACGAAGGAAAATCCTACATTATGAGATTCAGAAATAGAAACATCAACAAACGCACTTGCACTTTAAGTCATAACACGTTGCAGAAATTATACACTTGATTTTAAAATAATATTTAAACCGCGTTTTTTTCACTCCAAACTTACTCTTTATTTGAGTAGAAAGTGTTAATAATAATTGACATAAGCTGAGATATCTCAGCTTGAAAGGCAAATTGTTTGGCTTCAGCCATTCTGCGTAAATACGTTGAGGTGTATATATAAATTTGGTTGTGTTTTTATAGCGGCACTCTCAAAAATCACTATACTGGTCAACTCTCTGTACAGTATGTGGTTAAAATTTAAGAATCCAAAGGTTTTCAACCTCAGAATTTACTGTAATAGCACGGAATTAGAGTGTCCAGAATTCTGCAGTGCATAATTCTGCTCGCTTTAAAAATATCTTTTTGTATTGTCTTCGTAAGATAAATGTGACTTTAATCATTTTTTAAAGCCAAATACAATACAAAAAAATATTTTTAGAGCGAGCAGCATTATGCACCGCAGAATTCTAGACACTCTACTTTAA